TAAATCAAAGAAATCAAAGAAATCAAATAAAAGAAATATATTACAGATATCTCAGTTTTTTCAGATTTGTCATTTTTAGGATCATCATTGCATAGACTCATGTGACCATGCAATTTCCCTTTTACAATTCTCCTCCGCTAAAAAAACACGTTCCACGAGTTCTTCCATAATGAGTCGATTAAATTCGTGCTTCGTGAGCTTGACAATCATCGAAAGAGTGGTATATGTCATTCGATAAATCTGCGCGACTCCATGTGGTTCAAAAAGATAGTAGGTCCGAATCGCGGCTTTAAGATAATACGTGGTCAAAATGCTTCATATAACAGGTCTTTCTGCTGAGGTAAGTGTCTGTATCCTTGCTCCTAAATAATATGCATGAGTAAGGCTGCTAATCCGATTTCCAATACTTCTAGCTCTCCTAAGTCGATTATAAGCTATCACGACTTGATCTTGAAATTCTTGACTCTTGTGGTACGGACATATTTCGGACGTTACGGATAACAGCTGAGTAGACAAAATATCAAATCTGACGAGATCCTTTGTTGTTCCCATAAGAAAAATAAAAAATAAAATAAAAAATAAAAAATAAAAAATATCCTCCGAATTGCCCTCTTATAAAAAAAAAAAAGTCAATTTTCAACACTTCCTCTCCAAGTATTTCTTCAAATGGGTCCCATTAATCGGCGTAGATAAAACTTTTCCATCTAATTCCCTTAATTTGTAAGCTCCATTCATAAGTATAGTGTGTATATAATACGGTCCTTTCCATTTAGGTGCGAACTTGTGACTCGGAGCATTCATTCGCTGCATATCGTAAGCTAATACTTTATCTCCAATTCCAAAAATAGTAGTGCCTTTCAGCTTCTGATTGTGGTTTGCCTTCTGTTTTTGTTAATTGTCCTGGATCTGTAAAAGCGCTTGTTTTCTCATATTCGGTACTTTCGTAGTCAACTCATACATTCTCTGCAAGAACGTTCCATTCAGTAAATCTTCAGATTCACTCGGGTGGGCAGGTAATCTTGCTTCTCTTCTGTAAGTTAACATAAAAGGCGTTTGCTGGGTCGTAGCTTGTCTTGCAGTGCGATAAGCAAATAATATCAGCTGAATCATTATATCCCATTTCATTATCTTAGTAACTAATCGGGCGATCGAGTTACATAAAGTCTTGTTAAATCTCTCCACTAATTCATTGGTCTGCGGGTGGTATGGGATAGAATACTGATGCTCCACTTGTAATATCGCCATGAGTTTATCAATCGTTCTATTTCTAAAATGCATGCCTCGGTCTATAAGTATATGTATCGGACATCCATGTCTGCATATAATGTCTTCATATATAAATTTGGCAACTTCTTCAGCTGTGTCTCTTCGTATGGCACGTGCTTTTGGCCACTTGGTCATATAGTCAATCGCTACTACGATATACTTGTTCAATCTAGGCGTCGTCAGTAAAGGTCCAACTATATCAATTCCAATCTTGAAAAAAGTTGATATCGCGGGGATGGGGTGTAATGGTAGCTTCTCCTTCTTTGCTCTGGCTTTCCGGCATCACTCGCACGTTCTAACATATTCTCGTATGTCGTTATACATCTGCGGTCAATAATAGTACTCCCTAATCTTATTAAACATCACATCTTTCGAAAAATGGCCTCCCAGTGGGTGATCATGTATCGATACTAGTACTGAATCCACTTCTGCTTCCGTCAGAACTCTAATTAAATTGTTTTGCTTCGTTGATCTATTCTTCTTGAATAATCGGTCGTCTTGCACACGAAAGAATTTGCTTTGTGCTCTTAATCGTCGTTGTTGTTGCTTATTGAAATTTGGCGAGTACCTTTGATACAATAAGTAAGTTTTGATTGCGTCGTATCATTGTTGTTCCATCTTGATCCTTATTAGTGCCAGGACACCGACAACCTGGGCTAGATTGTGTTTCTTGTCGGATTTCCTTCTTTTCTTGATTACGGCGGTCAGTCAATATCGTAACTCTCGGGTGGGTCGCGTTTCATATCCTCGATAATTCAACTGACAATAATTAATTAAGTTTTCGTCTCCTATTCCTTCTCTTTTCATTGGTTCCTTATGATTCGGAATTCTAGATAGTGCATCGGCATTATGGTGTTTCCATCCGGCTCTGTGCTGAATGATATACTGGTACGGTTGTAATCTTAAGATCCATCGTGCTCTCCGTCCTTTTAGCATAGTGTTATGCAACCATTTTAATGCTGCGTGATTCGTTATTATCACGAATGGCTTAAATTCAAGGTAGTGGTGAAAATGCTCCACGGCTCAGATCACTGCGTAACACTCCAATTCTGTAGTTGCATAGTTTCGTTCTGCTCTAGTGAGGCTCTTACTCACATACGCAACAACATATTCCTTCTTATCTGTTCCTCTCTGAGCTAGTACGGCTCCTAATTCTACTCCTAAAGCGTCTGTATGAAGATAAAACGTTTGCTCGAAGTCCGGATACTGCAAGATAGGTGCTGAGGTCAGGCAAGTCTTGAGTTTCTTGAATGCTTGTTCCTGTGCTGGCATCCATTCATATTTCACTTCTTTTTCTAACAACTTATGCATCGGCTTCACGATTGTTGCAAAGTTTTTGATGAAACGTCGGTAATATGATGCAAGTCCGATGAATTCTCGTAGTTATCTTAGGTTCGTTGGCGTCAGAAATTCTTTTACTTTGATTACTTTCTCTTCGTCCGGCTGGATTCTATTGCGTCCTACTACATGTCCTAAGAATTGAATTTCAGTCTTGAATAACTGGCAATTCTCTTTATTGAATTTTAGTCCGGCTTCGCTGATCTTCGTGATTACTCTCTGTAGGTGTTCTACATGCTCCTCAAAAGTCGTCGAATACACATTGATGTCGTCGAATACACATTGATGTCATCGAATACATATTGATGTCGTCGAGGTATACTACTACAAATTTTCCCAAATATTCGTGAAGTGTCTGGTCCATAGTTCTCTGAAATGTCGCTGGCGCATTACACAACCCAAAGGGCATTACGTTAAACGCGTAGGTTCCTTGCTTCGTAATAAACGCGGTTTTCTCCCTATCTTTCTCTCTCATCTTGATCTGCCAATATCCGCTAGCTAGGTCTAGACTTGAAAACCAATTTGCTTTCCCAAAAGCTTCTAACAAGTCGTCAATCCTAGGTAGAGGGTATGAATCTTTTTTTGTGACTGCATTCAACTTTCGATAGTCTACGCATAATCATAATTGTCCTTCTTTCTTCGGGACTATCACTACCGGAGATGTCCAGAGGCTCTTGATTTCGCTAATCAATTTCTTTTCCTTCATTTTCTGGATTTTCTCTTCCAAAAACTCTTGCTCACTAGGGAACACTCTATATGCGTGTTGTTTAATCAGCTTCGCTTCTCCAGTGTTGATTTCATGCTGCACTTCATCAGTTTGTCCCAGTTGATCCAATCCGTCAGCGAAGGCTTCCTTATTTTCTTCTAGTAAGTGAATAACCTGCTTTTGTTGGTCGTCGTCGATGACTTCAGCATTTACTAATTCTTCTATTACTCCTTCCAGAGGTCATATAGGTCGTTCGGTTTCTTCGGGTGTCGGAACTTCTTCGATCGTTGTCAAATATGCTGCCGGGCTGTGCTCGTCGATCCATGGGTTGGTATATAAGTCCTCTTGATCGTCAGTCAAGTAACTTTCTACTTCATCTAGATCTTCTTCCTCATATATGTCGAAATAGTCATCTTTCTCGTAATTCTCTTCCTCTTCTTCCGGTTCTTCTATTTTAATTTCTTTTTCTTGGTGAATAGATAGCTCTATGCTTTCTCCTTTGTGGATAATGATCAATTTTTGTTCGTCGAAATATAGGTGGGCGCGTAACTTCTTAAACCAGCTTATTCCTAATAACATCATTTCTTCCATAGATTCTATAATCTGAAAGTCCGTAGGTACAGTGATTCTTCCTATTTGTAGTACTATATCCTTCAACTTTCCTAAAGCTCTTTTCTGTGTTCCGTTCACAGTGACGACAACAGCATTAGATGGTTCCGAAATCTGTAGTCTGAGCTTGGTAAGCAATTTCTTTGACATAATGCTCACTGCAGCTCCAGAGTCCAATACTGCTACGACTGGTTTGTTCCTTATCTTCATATTATATCTAGCTGCTGAGGTTCGTTGGGCTGGTCTTTCACATAATCAACTTCCGCGGGAGTGATGATAGGTCGTTTCAATACTTGTGCCAGGTGCTGTTGTTGCTTCGGAATTTGCGATAGTTGGGCATACGTGGCATTAGCTCTCTGACTCAACAAATCTTTTGCAACGTTGTATAGGAGTGCTTGGTCTACTACTGACGGTCCTCTCTGGCACTTAACTCGTGGTGTGACATTCTTCTTTGCAGGTTCTACCGTGATCTCCATTTCTACTGGTTGTGTTGATTGGATGTGCTCTTCTTGTTGTGCCGGTCGTGTTTGTTCTGTTTGTCGTGGCTGGTTCACAGTTCTTCCAGTAGGTTCCTTACTCAATTCACCCTTTTTTGGACGAGTAACAGTGTATGGCTGGTGTCATGATCTAGTAGCAATGTAAGCTTCGTCGTTGCTGTTTTCTACTTCGCATAGGTTCACGTCACGAGGGTTGGCAACTTGTGGTGGCAGTCTCCTTGGCTTGGGGCATTCACGGGCTCTATGTCCTTGTCTTCCACAATTGAAGCATCTGGTGGGTCGGTAACTCTGGTTTCTAGTATTTTTCTTCTCTCTTATCATCGTGGTCAGCTTTGATGACATTTCTTGTACTTGTTTCATTAGGCTGCTGATGGCGTCATTAGCTGGGTTATTCTCCTTTCTTCTGCCGGTATAGTATTCTCCAGCTTCCAGTTTTCGCGCACTTGCGATCGCATCGTCTAGTATGGTGGGCTCTACCAGTGGCATTAATCTTGCAATCTCTCCTTTCAATCCGCCAGTGAACAATCATATAACATATGTAGTCAGCAGGCGATGTTCCGAGTTTACGCGTCTTAGCAACTGCTTGAACCGATACGCGTAAGTATCCACTCTCTCTTTGTTCTTCTGTATTATCGTGTTGAGCTCCATCTGCCATTTGTGTCTTCGTTCTGGAGTGGCAAAATATTCCACGAACCTCGGGACGAAACTTCGATCCCTGTGTTCGTCATCGTCCCAGTGGTCTATGGTGCGCCAATTGTCATTGTATCAACTGACTGCTATCCCGACGAGGTATCCAGAGGCAATCTGTGTTCTTCTTCGTTCTGTCCAATTGTTTGCCATTGCTGCTCTTTCGAAGGCCTCT